TTAAAGGAGAGGTTCTTCAAGAGCAATGCCATCAATCACTGGAATTTATTTTTTTCTTTGGGATACTCAGTATATTCTTAGAGTTGGTAACGTGTAAACAATGTGGCAAAGTGTTACAGATCAAGTTATCTTAACTGATTTCTAATTCAGTTTTAATAACCATCACTCAGTTATATAACATATATTTATGCTTTTTTTTTAGTAGAAAATGAAACAAATAGAATGAGATATGTTTTTCTAACCCTCATTGTAATTTAAATTCTGAGGTTTGGAATTGTTTTTCTTTTTATGGTTGTTGAAAGTTTTAGAAGAGGAGTAGGAATCTGGAGTTTTGGTGAAGAATACTTTTATTTCTTCTTAATAAGTGGCATGTTTGACCATCTAAATATAGCTCTTGTGATTCTCTAAGTACAATAAAACATGAAGGAAGTTCCAGTTGACCTGTAAATGTGAAAAGTATTTAGAAACTCCCCTCATAGCTGGTGGTTGCATTTTATCTCAGTCATAGACACCCAGGTTCTATAGAGATTCCCTCCCCAATCTCCCTGTGGGCTCACTCATAAAATTAGCAGAGAAAATAACATAGTGCTATGTACACACCCTGTTCTACCCCAGCTTCTAGCATAGAAGTGAGAGCAGAGCTTGCAGTTCTGAAATCTTGGAAGCTTAGTTAGTTCTGGGACTCCCTGGGACTCAGACTTGAGCAGGAAAATGTCCTATCCTAAGTCTAAAGCCACAACTGAGTCTCTGAAGGACCAGGACCTCAGTTTGTGTTTTTTCTTTTGGAGATCAAACCCATGGCCTCACACATGCAAGAAGGGGACTCTAGCATTGACTTCCACTGCTAGCCAGGACCTCTGTTTTACTCTGTATTGAACAGAGTCCAGAGTGATAGCTGCAGAAGAAAAACTCAGCCTGGTCCTAATGGCCACACCACCCCCTTCTCACTGAAATGTGCTGAGTGTTGGTAAGACATAGCAGTTCACAACTGCCTGTGCATTTTTGTCTTCTCCCAAGAAGGGGCAGTCTCTGATTCCTGTTCTGTACTGTGATTTGTTGCCAGGTCTTAATGCTCTGTGTAGAATACTTTATGTGGTGAACGGTATCAACAGAAAATCTAGCATTTCTGGGGCCGAAGTGATAGTATAGTGGGTATGACATTTGCCTTGCACAGGGCTGACCCGGGTTCTATTCCTGGCATCCTTTTGATTCCCCGGGCCCTGGCAGGAATAATTCCTAAGTGCTGAGTGCAGAGTCAGGTATGACTCCTGAGTATGACCAGGCGTGGCACAAAAACCAAAACCAAACCAAAACAAAAAAAAAGACCGAGAAAAAATAAAACCTGGCATTTTCCAGACTAATTCTATGAAAGATAGATGAGGTGTAGCTCAAAGGTTGAATTTGTTAATTTTTTTATTGTTGTGGCAGGGGTTGAACCGAGGTCTCTCACTAGGCATGTGCTTTGCTGCCAAGTCACATCTCTGACCCCAAAGACTGAAGTGAGACCTCCACTGTGTTTCCTCCAGCCCTAAGGAAGTGGGATTCTTTGCCAGAACCTCAAAGGCTCTTCTGCTCCACTAAAAGCCAGCAAGTGCTGGCTGGCCGCTCCTCCCTTCAGTGAGAGCTGTGGTTTGGAAATGTTCTTTGTTCTCAGTTACCTACTCTGAGACCCTTCGGGTGGATAAGATGTCCTAAGTCCTCTCTCATCCTTAGGTAACAGTATTTTTGAAGGCATGGTATGGCTTTCTTGCTCTCTCAGGGAACCTTGCTGGATACCAGGCCTCTAGGAAGCCCTCAAGATTTTGGAAATAAACACAGAATGTCTGAAGATTAGGAGGGCCCATCTGCAGGGTCAGCTAGCCCTCTATCATCTTGGATCTGAATCCTTTCTGCCATGGTCTCAGAAAGTGATCCCTCAGAAGAGCCAGATTCCTTCCAAGTCTCTGTAGACATCCTGAGAAGGTGTTTCTGAGGAGGATTTGTGCTGGGCATACTTTGATGCTTAGTAAGGATGTGCTTGCAATTAGCACGAGGCATCTTCATAAAATTATTATGCCAGTGTTCTTTCTTGTCTGAAGTAGTTTAATATTTGGTTGCTAATTTTATGTAGTAAAGTTTTTGAACATACACAAACTTAGGCTTAATAGAAGGCAAATTCATAGAAAATCAAGATCATGAATCAAGAGTTTTGGCGATTTCCTCCCTCCTCCCCCCAATAAACCTACAGTGCCAAAAGAGCTCCAAATAGTACAGCAAAGGAGATGAAGACATGAATAGGCATGTTGAGACCAATAAAAAAAATAGAAGAACTTGCTAGAAAACGGTGGTTTTTAAATTAGAGAGTCCCGTAAGGAGGTTCAGTTAAGGGGTCTGGGTTCCTGGGACCATGTCGGTCAGGGCCCCATGACCACAGACTTGCTCGGAAGGAACCTTGATGAATTGACCATTAGGGGGTCCCCGTTGAGAGCAGCTTGTGGGGGAGTGGGGTTGGGTCACAGCCAGGTTCTTTTCCAGGAAGGCACTGAGAAGGCTTCAACCACATAATAATAGTCCTCCCACTGAGGAAGTGGCCAAGCCTGGACTTGCTGGTTTTATTTACTTGGAGAAATGTCTTCAGTGCTAAATAACAGATAGCATAGCTCATTATGCCCTGCTTTTCCTGTTTTCCCCTCAACCTCGTAGCTGTTGAGAGAATGACTCTGGCATTCAGTCTGCCAGGTCAGGCAGCAGAGAAGCAAAAAAGGGGTTCTAGCGATGAAGAGGGATATCCTGGCTCTCTCTGAACTCTGGTCCAAAGCCCTCAGGGCTCAATGCCTGGGATGGTTTGGTCATAGCCTGCTGTAGGGGTACCACAGGCTCACGTGGAGGGAACTTGGCTTTGCTGAGGAGTTGGGGGCAAGGTGGTCCCTGCCTTCAGTCCAAGGGATGAAATAGCCCTTGAGGCAAGTGCCTGCCTGCCCTTTACACCACGTGGATGGAGCCACGCCTGAGGCAGAGTGATTTCTGTCAGTGGGTAGCCAGTTTTTTTTTTTCTTCATTGGAGGCCACAGAAGACTATCAGGTGAATAGAAGACCTGAAGTTTAGGGGCCGGAGCGATAGTACAGTGGGTGGGGTGTTTGCCTTGCACCTGACGGAGCCGGGTTCAATCCCCCGACATCCCATATGGTTTCCCAAGCACCTCCAGGAGTAATTCCTGAGTGCAAAGCCAGGAGTAACCCCTGAGCATCGCTGGGTGTGACCCAAAAAGCAAAACAAACAAAAAAATACCCAAAACAAAGAAGACCTGCAGCTTTGTAGGGGATTCTGACAGTGGAGGAAGGAGAAGGAGCGAGGTGTTTGTATGGTTCTGGAGCAATGCCTGCGTGTGGGTGGTGGTTTTCAGCCCTTTTCCAGGGAGTGCTCAAAGCACTCTGCTTCTTACAAAGTCCCTCATATTCTGACATACGCATTGCATCCAAGAGGCCCGAGGAGACAAAACAAAAGAAGAACCTGGAGCTTATTCTCCATAGCTGTGGCACCACCTGGGTGTGAGAGGGGCAGGGCCATGGCATCTTTGTATACTGCTGGATTCATCCATTCAGGGCACCCTCATCATTAGGCCCACTCTGCCCCAAGGGGAGTGCCAGTAAGTGTTTGCTCCCTGCTCTGGGAGGGGCATGGAGCTCTCACTGACACATCATTAAGGTTGAGATTCGAGGCTGGGGAAGGGCTGGGGGAACACCAGCAGCCTAAATAGGTCCGTTTCTTTGGTGCACAAAATGAACTCATTTGCTGGAGCAGTAGGGGTGTGTGTGGATGTTCTTGGGAGGAAATGGAGTTCAAGGACAGGAGGATAGGGGAGAAGGTGGAGCAGTGGGGCAGGAACTGACAAAAAAGCTTTAGTTGGGAGGTTTGGGAATTTCTACGGGAGAGTAACCCCAGTTTGGGGAGGCCCCAGTACTCTGTGCCCTGTCCCCAGTACTCTGTGCCCTGTCCCCAGAGATAAGGCCAAGGCTCCAGGCCACCTGCTTACCTCAGCCTTACATTCAGATTCCTACTACCTGAAGGGATATGGGGAATAGGAATATTCAGAGAAGCTTCCGTGGTTACAGCTTCGATCTCATGTTTTTAGTTTGGTTGGGTCTGAGCTGCACCCACTGGAATGTTGTAATGTGCATGTCAAGTTGACAGGCTAGAACAGGGTGGGGGTTGGGGTGGGGAGGGAACATTGGGGACACTGGTGGAGGGAAATTGACCCTGATGGTGGGATAGGTGTTAAAATATTATAGGCCTAAAACCCAATTATCAATAAGTTTAAAAATCACAGTTCTTTAGTGGGAAAGAAAGCAAGAAGAAAGGAATGAGAAAGAGAGAGAGAGAGAGAAAAGAGAGAGAGAGAGAGAAGGGAGGCAGGGAGTGAGTGAGTGGAGTGAGTGGAGAGGGTGAGGGAAGGAGGGAGATGAATAGAGAGAGGGAGGAGAGAGAGAGAATAAAATTGCTCTAAGTAAAAAAAAAAGTAGAAGTGCCAGCTTTTGTCATTTAGGGCAAGTCATTTAACCTGCTGAGTTTCCCTCTTTACCTGAGGAAAGAATTATGATAGTTCCCACCTGTGAGGGGACTTTCTTTTGTTGAGTGACCACCACTCAACAGAGTTACCCAGGGACCAGCGGTTGGGGTTCAAAAGAATTTTGAGTCTGAAATGGAGAGATAGCACAGAGGTTAAAGTCCTTGCCTTTCAGGCATATGACAGGCATATGACTCCAATTGATCTTCTCTGAGCACATACTTAGTTGTAAGAAGTCTAGAGCACCCTGGCACATGGCCTCCACACAAACAATTCTATTTCTAGTTCTTGCTCTGTAGTCTGGATATAATCTGTGCAACAGGTTTAAGACTAACCCCGTAGTCCCAGCATCCCATGGGGGAGTGGGCGAGGCTGCTGGTTGGGGAGCTGGCTGCGGCAGTCGGGAGAGCTTGTCTCCGTCTCCAGCCACACGCTGATCTACTCTTTCCCACATAGTTCCGGCTGGTGGTGAAGACAGCCCTGAAGCTGCTGCTTGTCTTTGTGGAGTACTCAGAGGCCAATGCCCCGCTGCTGATCCAGGCCGTGTCTGCTGTCGACACAAAAAGAGGTGAGTGCTTCCCACCCTCCACCCCAATGCCCGGTAGGAATGCCCAGTGTGGGTGGGCTTCTCCCGTCATGGTGCAAGAGTGACCAGCAGGCTTTCCGCTGCAGGACACGTGGGTAGGGAAGTGAGTGTGTGAAGGATGGGGCAGGCCACATCAGATGCTGAGCCCTGTTCCATTTCTACAGAATGAGCTCCTTCTCTTCTTTCCCCCTCTGATGGGGGTGCCTGACCCTCTCCCCTCATTCATCCTTCACTGACTGAACTTAGACATCTCGTGAATTGCTTCCCTTCCTCCCTCTACCATACTTAGGGTCCTCAGCCTTAAATTGCCTGCCCTTGTTCTGCAATGATAGGATTCTTCTAAAACACCACTGTTGAGGGCCTGGGAGAGGGCTTGATGGCATCCAGGGTGTGCCTTGCAAGTGTAAGGTCATACGAGTTCAAAGTCCAGTGCTGAGGTGACCGGGATAGCCCTGCTGTTTATGGTCACAATGAGAAGGACCTGGGAGGGGCCCAGAGACTTAAAGCACTTTCTGGCCAGCACAAGGCTGGGACTTTAAATGCTAGTGTTGTCTGCACATGTTGAGGTGATCCTGACAGCTCTGCAGTTAGGGTTCTCAAGGAGGAAGGACCCAGAAGATGCCTCAGTGGCTTAAAAGACACCAGAGCAAATATGAAGCCTTACACTTAGCTTACAGATAAGCTTTGGTATAATTCCCAACGTTGCCTAGTCCATCCTGATGACAACATCATCTGGGGTCCCCAGTGAAGGAAACATTAAGAAGAAAACAACAACAAAAAATTGGATCACCTTATTCTTCATCTGAAATGAGCCAGTGCTCATTGGATTACCTCGAAATCTTCCATCTCCCAATTTCTCATCCATTCCTAGCCACCTGCTATCTGGCTACCTCTTAGCGCCCCAGGACACTCCTTTCTTCTACCTCAGGGCCTGGTGTCTCTGACTCTCACTGGGTCTCCACATGTAATTGGTCCCTAGCAGACAGATCTACCATACTTGGTGATGACAATGCAATTTCATGAGTGACAGATCGTGGGCCCTGTGACATAGTGATGCTTCAAGTTAAAACAGTGGGCTTGATTTTGTTTAGTCTTGTTTCTGTCCTGTTTTGTCCTTTAAAAAATAATTCTGGGGGACTGGGGAGATAATTCAGGGCTTAAGACTCTTGTTTTGCACACAGCCAACCCTGTTTGATCCCCCAGTATATGGCCTCCCGAACCCCGGCAAGAGTGGTATCTGAGTATAGAGTCAGGAATAAACCCTGTGATCTCTGAGCACAGCGGGGTATAACCCCACCCTCAAAACAAAAACTTTTTTAAATTATTTTTATTATTATCACTACCACAAAGACTCAAGGAACAAACACTATCAAACACATTTTATTGTCCAAATAGTAATATTGTAGAAAATCTGGAAGAACGGTGTAAAGAAGATAATAAATGACCTTCAAGCCAAAGAGCTAAAACAACTGAAGTAAGACCTGTGGGTAGGGATACACAAAGTTTGGTCGTTGGCATTGTATGGCCCCTTGAGCACTACTGAGGAGAACCCTCCCTTCAAATTATCTCCATTATGCCAGCCAGAGATAACTGTTAATTCATTTGGTGGTATGTATGTGTGCCTGAGAAAGTGCTTATGTGCCAGTAGGGCAAGATATGCCATCAAAAATAAATAGGGGCCACCCAATGTCTCTTCCGCAGACCACAGCACCCAAAAGGAGAGATAGAACAAAAGGGAGTGCCCTGCCACAGAGGCAGGGTGGGATGGGGGTTGGGAGGGGTGGGAGGAATACTGGGAATGGTGGGGGTGGAGAATGGGCACTGGTGGTGGGATGGGTACAGATCATTGTATAACTGAAACCCGAGCACAACAACTTGTAAGTCTACAACTGTACCTCATGGTGTTTCACTAATAAAAAATAAATTTAAAAAATAAATAAATAAATAAATAAATAGGGGGCTGAAGTGGTAGTACAGCGGTAGGCTGTTTGCCTTGCATGCGATTGACCTGGGTTTGATTCCCAGCATCTCGTATGGTCCCCCAGACCGCCAGGAATAATTCCTGAGTACAGAGCCAGGAGTAACCCCTGAGTATCACTGGGTATGACCCAAAAAGCAAAAATAAATACATAATAAATAAGGGACCTACACAACCTTCTGATTCATGCTGTGTCAGTATGACATGGAGACCCACCTTCCTGCACAGAATGAAGGATAAAGAAAGTAGTTTCTTAGTTCCTTTGAAAGTTTTGTCGCATTTTGGGGGCCACATGCGGCAGTGCTCAGGGCATACTCCTGGCTTTGCACTCAGGTATCACTCCAGGTAGGGCTCAGGAGACCATATGGGGTGCTGGGGATCAAGTCTGTATGGCCATGTGCCAGGCAAGTGCCCTAGCCGCTGTACCATCACTCTTTGAATGAGTTTAGGAACGCTGTCTGTAGAACAGTTTAATAGCTTTCCCATGAACACGGAGGCAGGCCTCACCCTTGGGCTCAGTGGATTGCAGGCCTGAGGCCCTGAGACAAAAGGATCATCATCACCTCCCAATTTATAAAAAAAAAAAAATCAAACAGTGAATGGATTGTCTTCTCAAATTCATAGCTGTTTCTTAGATGATTTCCTAAGTTTTTGGCAACTACTGTCATCTGTCTGCTATCAAGCCCTAGTGGCTGAAAAAGAAAAAAGAAAAAAGGAATAACATTAATGGAAAAACCCAGACATAGCTTATCATGTCTGCTTCAATAACATATTTCGCCATGGACATGTGTGGTCTTGGCTGTGATTTTATAGTGCATGCATATAACCTCATCCTATTTCACCGCTAGTAAAATTGTTCTGGATCCTGTGATGGAATCCAGCACATAAATATGTCAGGGAATAGCAGGACTTCCAGGTGCCTTTCCAGGGTGAGAAGCTGCTTTCACGTTTCCTCTTGGCTAAGAAAGAAGCAGACGGAGGTGCCAGAGGTGACTGGGTGCTACTTGAGTATGCCCGATTGTACACTAACTTATATAATAATCATAAAATTTTATTCCTCGAGGGCTGGAGCAATAGCACAGGGGATAGGGCATTTGCCTTGCATGCAGCCGACCCAGGTTTGATTCCTAGCATCCCATGTGATCCCCTGAGCACTGCCAGGGGTGATTCCTGAGTGTAGAGGAAGGAGTAACCCCTGTGCATCGCCGGGGGTGACCCAAAAAGAAAAAAATTTTACTCCTCGATGTGACTATAAACTCATTGATTTGGGTGGCAGGGTAGAGCATGGGCTTACAAAGTGTGGATACTTTTTTTAATGGAAAGGAATTATTTGGGGAGGCCAGAGATATAGTACAATGGGTAGGAATTTCACCTTGCATGCGCCCAACCCAGGTTTGATTCCCGGCACCATATATGGTCCCCTGAACTCAAGATGAAGGCCTGGGCACCACTGAGTATAGCCAAAAAATCCAAAAAACAACAAAATAACAGGAGAAGAAGGAGAAGTAGAAGAAAGGAATTCAAATAAGCTGTGAACCCTCAAAGATTGTCACCTCCAGCAAAGGCTGTTTCCAGAGTCCCAGAACCAAGGACTCAGGATGCTTTATAAACACCATGCAGGCCACATGTGGACCAGACAGTCTGGTTTGTGGAAGGAAAATCAGTGGGTGTCACTGTTATGGTGGCAATGCTTATTCCCATGCGATGCCTGCTCTGCTCCACTAGCTTCTACACCAACCACAGCACCTTTTGCAGCACAGGTTAGGAACTCAGAACTTACTATTTATTATTATTATTTTTAATGAATCATCATGAGATCCAGTTACAAAGCTTTCATGATTGAGTTTCAGTCATACAATGATCAAACACCCATCCCTCCATCAGTGTACCTTTCCCATCACTGGTGTCCCCAGTATCCCTCACACTATCCCAACTCCACCCCACCCCCTGCCTCTGTGGCAGTCACCTTCCTTATTACTCTCTCTCTCTACTTTTGGGCATTATGGTTTGCAATACAGATACTGAGGGGCTGTCATGTTTGGTCCTTTGTCTACTTTCAGCACTCATCTCCCATCTCGAGCAATTCCTCCAACCATCATTGACTTAGTGGTCCCTTCTCTATCCCAGCTGCCTTCTTCTCCAGATCATGAGGCAGCCTTCCAACCATGGAGTGATCCTTCTGGCCCTTGTCTCTACTGTCCTTGATGTTAGTAATTTAGAATTTAAAAAAATCCTCAATCCTTGTTCTCTTCCACTCTTCTCCTAGGACTCTGTATTTCAGCTCGGAGAAAATAAGACCTTTCACCACTAAAGCAATGCGTGGGGACCCTGTTCTGTGAAGGGGAACAGTTTGCTGGCCCACATTGTATCAGGGACAGAGCAGGCAGAGGGACTGAAGTCACCCACAGGGACAAATAAATACTCAGGAATGAGTGAAACTTTGGAAGCACCCCATAGCATCCAGGCAGCTGACTCTTGTGGCGGGGCCTGGAATGAGAGGTGCATTCAGCTCATGTCTGGACTGGCACTGCACGGCAGCCGCCCATGCAGAGTGCTGGGCTGGCTTCTCTCTTGCTTGCACTGTCGGTTCCTTTCCACTCCTAGGGCTGGGCATGTAGAGAGGAAGTCGATGGTGTTGCCGGAAGCTTGGGCGAAAGCATCTTTGGCTTCTTGCCAGCCTCAGAGCCTCCCTCTCCCTGAGCTCTCCCTGGTGTTGGTTGACAGGAAACTGGCTGTCATCCTGTGCTCCTCTGCTCCCCTGGACGGGGTGCCCTGCCCTCTGACTGTCTGGGGTTGCCGCTCAGACGGAGGGTGAGACAAGCAACCAGATGGGGTAACTTACTTTGAAAATTTTAGTCATAACTCTTGAGCCGCGCTAATTGGGTTCAGCACCGCTTTTGAAGAAGTTCCATTTTTCATCTGAATGTGAGGTGATGAGATATGACATAATGCTTAAACATGTGTATCACACATGATTAGCGGGGGGGAAATACAGCCATTCTTTCTGGCACTCCTGTCTCTGACTTCTGCTCTCAAATACATCGATCTGTGAATAATACACAAAGCTAGAGACTGACAGAAGCCAAGCATTTCCTTTATTTATAGCAGAAGTATATATGTTACATGTATTTATCATGTATGTTGAAAGACTTGGAATGTGCTACATAGACTTTCTGTTTGAGTGTTAGGTCAACTTGCATCCAAAGTGTTGTTGCGCTAAATGTCTTCTTGTCTTTGGAGTTTAATTCAGGGACCTAGATGGAAAGAAAGAGAGATAAAGGAATGTTTATCTCTCAGTTTTTCACCCTGATTTAAGAGACAGACCCTGGTTGGACAGGAAGAGAGCACTTGCCCTGGAGCTAGTGAGGGTCTGGTCCAGGTCAGTGTGATTGACCTCTGCCAGTGTAAGGCACCTCTGCACTTACACCTGCCGGTATTCCAGAGCCTCCATGTAATAGTCACTGCTGAGCCCGTTTCCTATGCAAGTCCAGTACTGGACAAATCATGACCAATTATTTCATCTGGAGTCTTTCAGATAAAAAGGAAACGGCAGCTCATGGAACCTAAGCTCACTCCAATATTTGGGGACAGGTTGGGGGTGTGAAGCTGGAGAGAAGTGATGACTGATACTGACTGAATGACTTATCTCTCATGGTCTAAAGCTGAGGGTAAAAGCCAAAGTGCTTTATCTCAGTGATACCTGACAGTCACCCTCTGCCTTTGGTCCTGTCATTGCAATTGAACCACATCTTCAGAGCTCTGATCGTTTGATAACTTGGGAACTTGGATTCCTTCTCTATTATGTGAAGGAACAAGCTCATACAGTGTTGGATCCCTCTACCATAGTCTCATTCCTGCATGCGCTCACTCAGACATGCACGCTCTAGGCTGAGTCACGGTGGGGTGAGCTTCCACAGTTAGTTCTTGAGGGTGGCAAACACTGCAGATGCTTGTGTTTGACATTGAATCCTGCCACAGAAATTTGTATTGAACTGAACTGGCTCCCACCTGTTGTTCTTTTTCCTCCCCTAAATATTTCCTTTTTTCTGATCTTAAAAATGCTGGAGCAATAGCACAGCGGTAGGGCGTTTGCCTTGCACACACCAACATGACTAACCCCGGGTTCAATTCTTCCACCCCTCTTGGAGAGCTTGGCAAGCTACCGAGAGTATCTTGCCCTCACAGCAAAGCCTGGCAAGCTACCTGTGACGTATTCAATATGCCAAACACAATAACAACAAGTCTCACAATGTAGACATTACTGGGCCCACTCGAGCAAATCGATGAACAATGGGAGGACAGTGCTGCAGTGCTAAAACTGCCCAAAGAGAGTGACCACTTGAGACTGGAATGATAGTACAGCAGATGGGGTGTTTTCCTGGGCCTGAAATTGATCCCCGGCACCCTATATGGTCCCTTGAGTGACTCAGGAGTGATCCCTGAGCACAGAGCCGTGAGTAATCCCTGAGCACTGCCAGATATGCCAGCACCCCAACACCCCCAAAAGGAGTGACCACTCAGCCCAATAATGTATGACTACATATGTAAGTACCTGGGTTTACAATCCTTAAATGACAATAAGTCATTCCGATACTGTTGCTGAAGAATATCTTTTTAAATTAAATTAAGCCAGCCTTTGAGTGTTTTCATCATCAAGGAAAGATGCATGAGACAGTGGATGTCATCAGGATCCTTTTTCTCTGGATTTCTGTCTTTGCATCCTGCATTTCCTTCCCTGGACTCTGTTTAGCATCTTTGGCTCCAGAGTCAGCAATCAGGAATCTGTTGAGGGCCTGCTAGCACCACTGGAAATTCTCACCTTAAGGGCCTTCTTCTACAGTTCTTTATTGATTTGTGGGTAATATACTACACTCATGTGTCAGGCTTTGGTTGGGTACAGAATGTGACTGATGATTGTTTTCTTGTTAAAAACACAAGCCAAGGGATTGGAGGTATAGTATTGTGGGTATGGCACTTGCCTTATATGTGGCAGACCTGGATTTAATCCCATATGGTCCCTCAAGCATCACCAGGACTTAAAAAAACACTAGCTAAGGCACTTAGAGTGTCAAACTGTACATGTAGTGAAACCCAACACTAACTGGCCACACTTTACCATTACTTTGCTGGAGTTTGAAATACAGGTGAAGACTTTGTCTTCATTTGAAGGTAAATAATAGTGAGAAGATAATAGTTTGAGGAAAAGTATAATAAGATAGTTCAGCTGTTAGACAAAGGAGCAAGCTTTCATGTTAAGAATTAGAAAGATGTTGGAAACTGACCTAGTTGTGACCAGTGGGGCAGTGTGACTGTTTCCTTGTAGAGTGAGCTGTCGGCTCTCAGCATCATAATTCATCTGGGGCTTCCATACTCGTGCTGGATACCCTTTCCTTTTTTTTATTCTTTCTGTTCTCCTTTTCTTACTATGAGTATCTACCCTCTGGTTCTTTTAAAACTATTCCAGTTTATAACAGGAGGTTTTCTCCATGGCTTGGAGACCAGTCGTACATGCTGGGGGGAAAAAGTAGCTCAGATAGAAAAGGGAACACCAAGTAAAGGGTGTTGGGAGGATCCACCCAGGATGGGAGATGCATACTGAAAGTAGACTATAGACCGAACATGATTGCCATGTGTACCCATCAAGACATTTTTGTAATGAGACAAAAAAAACTGCCCATAACAGTTTTATTTATTTTTGGTCCCATTTTTGGGCCATACCCAGTGGTATTCAGGGCTTACTCCTGGCTCTGTGTTCAAAGATCTCTCCTGGCAGTGCTGAGGTGACAGACCATATGCAGTACTGGTATCAACCTGAGGTCAGCCATGTGCAAGGCAAGCGCCTTAACCCTTGTTCTGTCTGGACATCCCTCCCCCTCCTTTTAACATTTTGCATAATCAGTGTTTTTATAGTGCATGGTTTAAGTGATGGGAACTTTTCAAAGGAAATAGGCACCTTGGCACTGAAGGGCATTCATTCCCAAGTATTTAAGAATGGGTTGGTTCATTGTAGCCTGTTAAACTCTACACTAAGGATAGTGCCACACTAGCTGGAATAGAGAAGGGATCACTAAGAAAATGATGGCTGGAGGAACTGGTCGGGATGGGAGATGTGTGCTGAAAGTAGATAATGGACCAAACATGTTAACCGCTCAGTATCTGTACTGCAAATCATAATGCCCCAAAATAGAGAGAGAGTATGGGGAATATTGTCTGCCATGGAGGCAGGGGGAGGGTGGGAAAGGGGAGGGTATACCCGGGGATATTGGTGGTGGGGAACGTGCACTGGTGGAGGGATGGGTGTTTGATCATTATATGATTGCAACCCAAACATGAAAGCTTGTAACTATCTCACGGTGATTCAATAAAATTAAAAAAAAAAAAGATAGTGCCACACTTTGCAATTTGGTGTCTAAAAACTTTACCAATATCAGGTGATAAGTTTAAGATAAACTATGATACACATTCACTTGCGAGTGTTGAATTTCTATTTCTAATGATTTCTGCTCTACTCAATAGGAGTTAAACCCTGGTCAAACATCATGGAAATCCTGGAGGAAAAAGATGGGGTCGACACGGAGCTCCTGGTTTATGCAATGACTTTAGTGAATAAGGTTGGTTGATGCTTGTTATGGTTAAATTGTGTCCCCTGCCTCTCGACCCGACCCCTCACCCATGGTAAGTTGAAATCCTAATGCCTGGCATCTGGTAATGTGACCTTATGTGGTAACAGGGGTTTGCATATGTCTTCGAACTGAGTCATTGGGGTGGGACCTTATCCAGTATGAGAAATGTTGATAGAAAACCAGAGGAGGACACACATCAAGGTAAGGTGATACATAAGAACATAAGGAAAACAAGCACCTGGTGAGGAGCAAAGAGATTGGAGTGATACATTTGTAAGCCGGAGGAATGGTGATTGCAACAACACTTGGATGTCAGACTTCTAGTGTCTTAAACTTGGCTAGAATGAGTTACTGTTGTTTTCAGCCTCTTGGTTTGTGGCAGTTTGTTGCAACAGCCCTAGGAAATCCCTAAAATGGAAAAGTAAAACCAAGAGTGTTACATCACATGATCCCCATCATGGTGGCATGAACCATAGCCACAGCATGCTTCTGTCCAGGACAGAACCATGTCCACCTGCATGTGGACGTGTGTGTGAGAGCTGGTGAGCCCATGTGGAAGGGTCTGGATTCCCTCTGTGCTTTCTACACTTCAGTCTCTACTAATGATGCCAGAAATATGACAGAGAAATGTAATGACAACTTTTATTTCCTTCTTCAAAAGTAAGCTGTCTCCTTGCAAAGACTTGTTTCTTCTTTCTTCCCCCTTTTGTTTGGCGTCACACCCAGCAGTTTTCAAGACTTAACTCCCAGTAAGGGGCTCTGGGCTCTATCCTGGTGGTTTTTTATCTGTCAGGGATTATCTGATTATATGTCAGTATTATATCTGATCAATTAGGGGATTATACCTGGTGCTGGGGATCAAACTGGGTGTGTCTGCATGCAAGGCAAGTGCCCTATCTGCTGTACTATCTCTCTGGTCCAACAAAGACTTTCTCTTAAAGATGAGAAGTCAAGAGGCCACAAATATAGGAGTTATCTTGCTTGACTTGCATGTGGCCAGTCCAGGTTCAAATATGATTCCCCAAGCACCTCCAGGTGCAGCCCTTGAGCCCCTGCATACCACTAGGTATAGCCCTAAATACCCTTAAGCAATGCTGGGGTGGCTTGGATAATAACCTGGCAGGGCCCAACTATCCCCACATCCTTGGGCCCTCCTTGAATTGCTCACCTATTTGATGGAGATTTTCTGAGAGGGATTTCCAGCACCCATTCCAGGCCTCCTGGAAACCTCTTGGGAAGGCTTTTAAAAAAAAAACTTCTCAAAAAGTTTTTTTTAAGAGTTTTTAAAATTTTTAAAAAATTTTTATTAGTGAGACACCATGAGGTACAGTTGTAGACTTACAAATTTTTATGCTTAGGTTTCAATTATACAATGATCAAATACCCATCCCTCAACAAGTTTTACTCAAAGAACATAGTTTTCAAGTTAAGAAGAAATGAAGGCACTCTGAATTTTGGTGGCTGGGATTGAGAAAAAGATTTTTGGGGTAGTTTCCATCCTCCTTCTGGGTAGTGACCTTGTGCTTCCTCCTAGCATGCCCCTCCCCATAGGAAGAAACAGTCTTCAGGGTCCCAGATGAACAGGTTCAGTGCAACAGAGCAAAATTTAGAGAGAGGAGAAAAAATAATGGTTGAAGGCTAATTGATCTCTGGTCTTTAATAAAAACAAAAATAGATAAATAATTAGAAGAGATAGCATTTATAAGTAGATATAGAAAAATAGATAAATAATTTAAATAATAAGAAGATTATAAAGGAAAGGATTTAAATTACTGCATAAAACCCTGAAATGTCTTATTATGGAAATAAAAGTCAACACATGGAGAAAAGTTTGCAAAAAAAAAATGGGGCATAAAATGAAACTATTCTACTCATTTAAGAACCTAGTGGAAGATAAACTCCATGAGCCTACTGAGATGAAGAGGTAGATGCAGTAAAACCTGGAGTGGTTTCTCTGGATCTCTCTGGGTAAGGGTTGAGTTATGCGGGGAGGACTCAGGAGCTGCCCCCAGCTGTACTGGGGAATGGGCACTGTCCTTCTGGAAGGAAATCCTAAGATTTCTGGGTTTCATTTTCAGACCTCTCTGCAAATTTATTTGGCCATGAAGTTTGAAGGCAATTTTGTGTTAGATGTTTCATGAATGAAGTCACTTATTCTTGTCATTCTCAGTGACTGACAATGTTTTGGGAAATGCTGGATTCAGCAAAAATAAAGTTTTTTGCTTGGGCAGGGTTTTCTCTTGTCACACTACCCCTTTCATTGGTGGATGCAGCAAGTAGCATCATGTTTTTGTGTGGGTTCTGTGCTGCCAACCCTAGCCAGGATCCAGAACCTATTGCCCGCTTTGGACATCACAACATCTGATGACTTGGAATCACTCACTTGTCCTTTCTTCTCTGGTATTTCTGTCTCATCTTTCCAGTTTTAACCCAGGGACATTTGGCAAGGTACTGAGGATGTGACTCTTAATGACATCTTTCAGAGAAGGAGAGTCTACCAGCCCATTGGCACTTCTCCTGAACTTGGGTTCTTCTTTGAATTTTAGTCATGTTCATTGTTAAAGTCATCTGAGGCGCCAAACCCAACAGTACATGCAACCATTTACATTAGTGTGGAAAGAACTTAGACCCTGAAATCAGCAAAATGATTCCATTTTTTCCCTATTATATCTTTTAATAGAAGACGTCCTAACAACATGGAATTCAAAGAACATTTTCATAGCAATTGAAAAAGGGTACCAAATCCTAGATCGAACTTGGAGACTAAAATCAGTTCTCCTTGTTAAACAGGGACACTCACTCATGAGGGTTCCCCCTGTCATTCTTCCCAGTCCCTACACTCTGATCAAAGGATCTAAGGAAGCATGAGAACCCACCGCTCCATCCTAAGCCCTAACTCCCACCTTCCACAGTCAGAGTTGTCTTCATGCAACAGAAATGTGCTCAGTGGGAATCCTGTCCAGGGTCCACCATTAAGAGAGTGCTCCCATCTATGGGGGTGCTTTGAGCCTTCAGGGAGGTGAGGCTCAGGGAGCTCAGGATAAGAGTCAGGGCCAGGACTCCTGCTGGGGGTTTCTTACATTTATTTTTATGATAAAGTCTCATAGCTCTATAGTTGCAGTTTTCCCCGACAAAAGATGAAGCTTGACTGTATCTGCCTGAAATCTCCCTGCTGTAGCTTTAGTGGCATGCCCTCAGCCTCTGCAGAGGGGCGCTTTCTCTCACTAGGCTTTAGTCATTTCAAAATGGCCCTGGAGATGCACCCCAAGAGTCACCCTGTGAGGCTGGCATCTCTTGTGGGCCATCTTGAGACTCATCCTTGTCAAGGTGGGTGTACACAGTGGCTCTTTCGTGCTGCCTGTTTCATGGCACAGATGCTGTAGCTGGCTTCTCACTTCCTCTGCCGAAGGTGATTTGGGACCTCACAGCTTCAAGCTTCGACAAATAATTCTGATGTGAACATCTGTGTGGAGGTGCCCCAGAAGGGAGCAGGTGAGAGCCCTCCCTGTCCCAAGGGACCCAGCCCAGGCAGCCACTGCCACACTCCAGGCCTCTTTCCATACACTCAGGCTGAGCCTCACATATGAGTGAACATATTCCTGGACACTCTTAAGACACTCCCTACCCATTTTCCATAATTACCACACCATTTGATGGGGTTCAGACAGTACGCAACAAATCACTGAGGGAAATATATGCATATACATATATATGTGTATATATCACTATCACCATCACCATCGATTTGCTCGAGTGGGTGCCAGAAATATTTCCATTCGTCCCTGTCACGTGCTAGTGTAGCCTGATGGCATATTGGGATATGCCATCATATTGGCATATGTGTGTGTATGTGTGTGTGTGTATGCCTCTCAGAGAGTCCGGCAGGCTACTGAGAGTATCCCATCTGCATGGTAGAGCCTGGCAAGCTACCTGTGGCATATTTAATATACCAAAAACAGTAACAATAATGGGTCTCATTCCCCTAACCCTGAAAGACCCTCCAATACAGCAGTGTTAGGAAAGACGAGTAGGGAGAGGCTGCCAAAATCTCATGGCTGGGACGAATGGTGATGTTACTGGTGCCCGCTTGAGTAAATCAATGAACAATGGGATGACAGTGATACAGTGATGCAGTGAAGAAAGATTTTATGGAATCAGTGAAAATCCAGGGAGCGAGAAAGGACATGTGCTTTGTTACAGAGATTTCTTTTCCTGAGAGAAGCCTGTGGAGACTGTCCTTGTCTCAAATCTGGGAAGGACAAGGTGGCCGCTGGGGGTACATGGGGAGCTAGTGGTCAGGATCTGTGTCACAGACATTTGAACCCCAGGCTTTGTGGGAGTAGCTGCCTCCTTTTCAGAAGCAGGTGACTTCGAAGTGAGGTGTCTGGGAAGAAATGGGAGGATGAGGCCCAGGGAAGCAGGAGCGTGGAATATGAACTGTGCGTGTCAAGAGGCAGCTGAAAACATATGGGCAGATGTTTCTGGGCTGTGCCATCCCCAGTCTGCAAAGGAAAATAGGAGCAGATTTGTGGCAGAAAGCCGTGTCCCTGCAGCCACACAGACATCGTGATGGTAGGCAGGCTGGGCAGCAGTGACATCCCCCCAGTGGAGATGATGAGGGCTTCTCCTCAGTCCCCGACATCCTGACTGTCACAGAGCAGGGGCTCCTGGAGTCTGTTCTGTCCTCTAGACCTAATTGTTCTCAAAGCTTTTAGGATAATCCTTCCCACCCTGCAGCCCCGCTAAGGCAGTGTAGAGGTATTAAATTTCTGAATTTCAGTCCCTAGGATCTTCTGAATTCAATCTTAAATGAATGAAGAGAAGACAGCATATACAGTTCTGAAACTGGATTATTCTGAAGGTCATTTTGGATATTTATAACTCACATCTTGAACCTGGGTTCAATTCCTCTGTCCCTCTTGGAGAGCCGGGCAAGATACCACGAGCATCCCGCCCACATGGTAGAGCTGGCAAGCTCCCCATGGCGTATTTGATATGCCAAAACAGTAACAACAAGTCTCACGATGGAGATGTTACTGGTGCTTGCTCAAGCAAATCGATGAGTAACGGGAAGACAGTGCTACAGTGCAGGATCTTCTGAGAGAAAGACCCTCAGTTGACTCTCAATAAGGAGGGCAGTGGGGGGGGGGGGTCAGGGGTTGCCTGGGCCTCCTCGGCCCATCCCCCACATTTTTGTGTAGGCCGTTTCAGGTCTAGAACTGGATTGTTGCTTGCCTGTGTTTCTCACACCATGCCTTTGGTAGCATCAGTGGTGCATGGGATGCTTCCCATCCTCAGCCCTGTCAGGGCCTTCTGTGGCCATCTCTCTTGGCTCATCTTTTTTTTTTTTTGCCTTTTGGGTCACACCTGGTGTTGCACAGGGGTTACTCCTGGCTCTGCACTCAGGGGACCATATGGGATGCTGGGAATTGAACCCAGTTTGGCCGCGTGCAAGGCAAATGCCCTATCTGCTGTGCTATCTCTCCAGCCCCCTCAGCTCATCTTTTAACAAATTGTGTTGTTATGAACCCCTAAGGCTGATGATTTTCAATGATTGAATTCTCTTCCTCCCTCCCCCCCAATTTTCTTTAATTAAAACATTATGACTTACTAACTTATTCATACCTGGGTTTTTGACATACAATGTTCCATCACTGATTTGGCCACCAGTGTCAACTTCCCTCCATCAGTGTTCCTAGGTTCCCTCTCTTACACTCTCCCACCCCAACCCCAGCCCCAGACTGACATCTTGACAGGCATCTTTAAATTTGGGTTATGAAAGTTCTTATCTTGTGATTTCAGTGTTATTAATACAAGGATGGTTGAATACATCACATTGATGATTCTCTGAATAGGTTTTTACTCTTCCATGCTGGGGCTCCCATTGATTGTCATTGCCTGTGAACGCAGTGGTGACCCCTCACCAGCCCCTTGCTGCTAGATGCACTCATGCTTGACCACTTAGGGGTAAACCCCTGTTTGTAACAGCTTTTGGCTGATTTGACTCTGTTCTGTGTTCTTTTTTCCTAATATTTATTAGTGAAACACCATGAGGTACAGTTGTAGACTTACAAATTTTTGTGCTCGGGTTTCAGTTATACAATGATCGTTCTGTGTTCTTTTTGAGCCTCAGGTGAAATAAGATCTGGCAGACTAGGGAGCTCTCACAGGACCAAGCAGGGCTGAGTGTGGAAGGAGGCCCAGGTTCCATCCCTGGTACCACATGGTTCCACAGGACCAGTCTGGATGTAGCCCCTAAGCACCACTGGGTGTGGCTGTAAAGCAAACAAGTTGTAAAGAAGCTCTGGCATCCTGGTTTTTTTTTTTTTTTATTAAATTCCCAATTTAGCAGAGTTGTATCCTCTCTGTTGACATCCTTTGGGCTGTGAATAGGAACATTCTTCTCTACATGAATAATCTCCAAATAGCAGTGTTAGAAAAGTTGGAGTGAGAAGTTCCTTGTCAAATTTTTTGCCCCAACCCCCACCCACCCCTTCCACCACCCCCAGGCAACTCACCCTGTTTAGAATAGTTTTGACATCTAACTAGAGTTCCTAGAAATGCAAAGGGAGGGTCCCCCTAGGGTGTGAAAACCCAAGTCTGAGATTCCATACTGCACATGAGAGGTGCAGGTGTGCAAGGAGGGGAGAGGGCCAGCAACTCCAGGGCATTCTGTTGCACATCTTTAACCACTTGAGTTACTGCAAATGCCCACCTCCAGGGTGTCTTTCTCGTTTATAAAACATGGGTACTTGGAGAAAATCCCCTGCAACCTCTTCCTTTTCTGAGCAGAGGCTGAGTCTGAGACCCTTCTTTAAAAAGAGGCCAAATCTCAAAGTGAAGTCAGCCTTTTCGTTCTAGGATTCTCTTTGCGTCTCTTGCTGTTGTTTTGAAAAGTCTCATATTTCGTAACTTTCATAGACCTTGGGGAAAGGCCCATGGGTGGAAAGAGAAGGGACTCATTAAATTGCTGACCCCGATTCTGACTGCTGGTCGGTTGACGTTAATCTTCTCACTGTTAGATTTTTGGTGTTTGTTTTGTTTGTTTGATTTTTGGTTTTTGGGTCACACCCGGTAATGCAGGTAATGCACAGGGGCTACTCCTGGCTCATGCACTCAGGAATTACTCCTGGTGGTGCTCAAGGGGGCCATGTGGGACTCTGGGAATCAAACCTGGTTGTGTGCAAGGCAAACGCCCTACCTGCTGTGCTATTGCTTCACCCCCATCACTGTTAGTTTTATATTGTCATGTAACAAATTACCACATATTAGTGGCTTAAATGAACTGAGATTTGTTCTCTCATGGTTCCTAGTGGTGGGGTCCAGGCAACCTCCTGGCTCCTCTGCTCCAGGTCACCCAAGGTGAAGGTGTGGGTTAAGGCCAGAGGCGCCTCTCAGACTAGGGAGAGGGCCCATCTCCCAAGCCTCAGCAGTTTTGGGGAGAGCTCAGTTCTTGTACCTGTAGCACTCTAGTGACTGGCTGATTCTCCAGGGCCAACAGGATAAGCTGCTGTCTAGATACTGAGGTCAGGGAAAGGCCAAGGCCTCTTAAAAAGTACCTGTTTGATTAGATCAGGCCTACCTAGCCAAATCTCTCTATTGATTAACTCAAATCAACTCACTGGGGGCCTTAACGACCTCTGTAAGATCTTTACCTTTGCCATGGAACATAACCAAATCCTGATTGTTGCTTCCCAAAGTCAAGGGAAAGAGTTATCAGGCCCCTCTGTACCTGGAGTGGGAGCTTGGGCTTCACTCTGCTTTCCACTCTTAAGGATTTCTCTCCAATAAACTGACTTGTTCTGCTGTGTTCTACATCAGAGGTAATAGTGGCTGCTGGCTGCCACACAACTTGCTTCTGCAGCCTTGAGTCACTCCCCTGTCCTCTTCTTCCTCTGTGCAGACATTGTCCGGATTGCCAGACCAGGACTCCTTCTACGATGTGGTGGACTGCCTGGAGGAGCTGGGCATTGCGGCCGTGTCCCAGCGGCACTTGAATAAGAAAGGGACCGACCTGGACTTGGTGGAGCAGTTGAACATTTACGAGGTAACAGAATGTGGCTAAGGTATCGTACAGCTTCGACCAATGTCAAAGGTTAAGGACAAACATATTGCAGATCCATTCTTCTGGGTGTGGTGTCATAGCATCTGCATGGCCCAAGAGCTTTCTGAAGTGCAAGTTCTTAGGCCCACCCAGGAGTCATTGAGGATAGGTCCCGCACCCTGTTTTATGTAGGATTCCAGGGAATTCTAAATATGTTAGGTTATTTCGATGTTTTGGGTTATTACAAAAAATACTGCTATGAAAATATGTAGAGAGTCTTCTCTATGACATGTGCTTTGAGTTTCCTTGCGTATATACCTAAAACCGAGTGACTGATCATAAGATACTTCTTGGTCTGAGGAACTCCTGGAACAGTTTTGAATATTCCCACCATTTGTATAATTCCACATCCTCATCAGAATATATTATTGTCAGTGTTTTAAAACTATTATCAATGTTTTAAAACGATGTTTTAAAGCTATGACCATCCCTCTGAGTGTGCAATACTATACATTGTACTTTTGCTCTTCATTTTCTGATGACTAATGATGTTGAATGTCTTCCTATGTGTCTATTGGCCTTTTTTTATGTTTTCTGAGGAGAAATGTCTGTTCAGATCTTTTGTTAATTTTCAAGTTGGATTGTCTAATCACTATTCACTTTACAAAATTCTTTATATACATATGTGCAAATACTTATACATATATATGTAAATATATACATGCATGTGTATATATGCATGTGTGTGCATATGTATGGATAGCAAAGAAAATATACATGTTTAATGTATTTTCCCCATTTTATGAACTTGTGCTATTCTATTTCTGACCTAACTGATTCATAACATTCATAATGATATATTAAATTTTTTCTTTAATAAGGAAATACTTATTGAAGAATATCGAAAACATACCAAAAAGTTTAAGAGTAAAGATTTACTGCAGATATTTTCTTTTCTTTATTTTGTTCATTGTATGTCCCTAGATATGGAGACAGTCTGTTTAGTGCTGCATGTGCAATATTTATTAAACACATTAGAAACATTTTTTCTTATTACATTTTCCAAAATCTAATTTTAAAAATATTCTATCTTTGCATGTATATTGATATACATATAATTGGTTCCCTGAAATTGTGTGGTGCCCCCAGCTCCACTGGGAGCAATTCCACACACCACTTGGGTGTGGGCCCCAAACAGAAACAATTTAAACATTTGAACTGTGCTGTTGGAATTCTGTTTGATACTAATTTAGGCTTTCTACGCAAGTATTTGTAAGTCAGACTGATCTCCCCCTCATCCATCTTTTCTTCCCTCCTCCTCCTTTGTGTGCTTTTTCAATTTCTTACAAACATCACTGTTATCCCAGCATCATTAAAATGACAGTGCCACTCTTGCATGTTACTCCAGTACAAAAATTTCAGATAACTATGTGAATGTCCCCAGGGCACCTGCCTGATGCTCCTCAGTGTTCTGCCCCCAGATTCTTCTTCACTGTCCACTTCCACTTGGGAATTTCTTATCAGAGTGTCCTCTCTGGGGTAGCCTGCCCCAATGAATCCAGCACACTCAGAAGTGGATATTGGACCCTGAGCTTTCTGTTAAGGTGGTTGCTTTCTATCTCTGTGCCATCTTGTCATTCTATATTTCAGCCATTTTATGTTGCCTACTCTGCTGAGGTTGGGAAAGTAGAGAGATGAAAGGTTTGTGCCTCCCCCCAGAGAAATGCCATTCTTCAGCTTAACCTCATCAGGTGACTGTATGTATCTGCTAAGTGTATTGGCACAGAGGGACAAAGAAGGGACGTAGCATTGACTGTCCCCAGCAAGGCCCCCATGCAACCCATGCTGAATCCTTTCTATCCAAAACTCCTGCTCAGCCTGTTCCATTTCTCCTCCTCAAAGCACCATCTCCCTACTCACAAATGTGAAGATGTCTGCACTTCTTTCTTGTTCCTTTGTCCCTACCCTTTGAGGTCTGCTGTGGTAAACAGTCTACACTCCTCTATTCCCACGTCCCTGGATGATTACATTGTTTTCCCATCCATTCGTTCCTTGGCAGATTTGTTCATTCAACATGATATCATTGAGCATGTACTAATTTGTTCAGCTCTAGTCTAGGCCCCTGGGGTGTAGCAACAAACAGACAAATGAGGCCACTTCCCCCCAGGAAGCAGCCATTCTGAAGGGGTGCAGATTAGGACTCAGTATGTGAAGGAGCTGAGATGAGCATGTCTATATAGAAAAGACCCAGGATTAGATGCAGAAAAGGAAGACCTAGCCAAGTTGATCATGTAAAGGAAGTGGTAGAAGGAAATGCCCCCAGGGAGCCCAGGCCTGATTGGCTTCTCACGCTTCAGGAACCTAGTCCTGTGATTCTTGTATCTTTTTGTAGGGTGACTCTGCAAATCTGATCTTATTCTGTCATCCCTCCATTAAAGTAAACAACCAATAATTAGTGAGTGGGTGAATGAGTGGAAAGCTTTTGCTGGCCGGCAGGATGAAGGTCAAACTCCTTGAATGGGTAGAAGAGGCTTCCTGGTCTGGTCTTCTTGCCCCATGAACTAGTCTTTGGCCATTTTTTTGAAGTTTTAGCCATTCATCTTGTGTTTCTTGAACATGGAAGGTTAATCTTTTGAGAGCTTTCCTCTGACCTTCCTCTTTACCCAGAAGTATGGCACGCTCCACTTGGCAAAAAATTCCATAATTCTGCAAGTACCATCTCAGATGCTTCCTCCCATGTGAGGCCTGATTGACAAGGTAACAACAGTGTTCTGTTCCCCACGCTTTGCTTATGCCTCATAACAGCATCGCTTGTCAGTGTTGACACCTCACATAGAGCCACCTGTGAATGCACTTCCCTGTTTTTCTCTGAGCTACTCTATAGAAAATGGTTTGTCCCTCATTCTAAACTCAGGACCCAGACACAGTCCAGCAGCCAGGGTGCATGCATCTGACTTGGTTTGATCCCTGGTAACACATGGTCCCCTGGCATTGCTGGGTGTAACCCTAAAGGGCCCCAGGTATCTCTGTACAATGCCAGCACTGTACAGAGTTGAGCCCTTACATTGAATCTCTGGCCAGTGGGGTCCATGGGTCTCCTGAGTGATGTTTGGGCCCTTCCTTCCAAAGCATAAAGAGAAAAAAAACTGTTAAACCTAGGGCTCAGCCACTCACTTTCCAACTAAACAGAAAATAACTTTAGTTAAAGGTTTCTTTTAATATAAAATATTACATATTTTATGGTAGTGTTTGCCAGATGTTGAGTTGAGAAGAAGGCATGATTTAATCAGAAAACAGTTACCTTAAAGGGAAGGTGCACTGAGTAATAATAACTCAAGGTGACAAGTCAGTGCTTTAATAACAGACAGAGTCTGGATTTGTATTCGTTTCCACAAGGTAATGTAGTTCTTAAAACTATTCACTGACACCAGGCAACTAAGTTCAGCATCTGCAAGGTAGCGAGGAGATTATAAACAAGCCAATATTTTCCTCACAAAAGAATATAAATGTTTTCAAGTAATCGGAGAGAACTTGGTTGGGCTTCTAGAATTCTTCCTAATAGTAGGAGATGTCTGGTGACCATATGTAGTGGGCTTTCTGGGGACAGACCCGATTCCATGAAATCTAATTTCATTTCAGAAAAGTGATTTAATCCATGATTATACACATTTCCATTGTTATAACAGCACATGATTTTCAAAAGACATAAATTCACAAATCAAAATGGAAAAACCTCTTGTCATATATGCATTCTCACATTTGATCCCCAAACTGCTATTCTAGGAATGAAAAAGGAAGCTTTGGGGGTCTAGTTGTTACATTTAGCAGTAACTAAATGATAGGTCAGTCACTTAAAAGTTTTCCTTATTGTAGATGATACGTGTTTATTGGTTAACTCTTGCAAAACAAATACACCAAAATCTAGTATCCTAAAGCAGCAGTCATTGTTTCTGATTTTCTGGGGCAGAAATTTAGACATTTTTTGTTCTGCTGAGAGATTGCCATGCATCTGCATTTAGGTAATGGTTTTATCAGGGATGAAAGGTCTAACATGGGTCTTTGCTTCAAAGTTTGATAGTTGTCTGGGCTATATGACTTCAGCTGAATATTTTGCAATTCTTCACAGAAGAATTATTGAATAGCACCACTTTGGAAGGGTGAATCCCAACTTCTCAAACCTCTGAAAACATTTTATCTGCTGATGTCTCATTGACCAAAAATAGAATCAAATGCAAAACTTCTTAGAACTAGGGAAAATAATTGCCTTCTCATGTAACTATGACTATATCATGGATATAAATAGTTGTATAACAGTATAAAGTGTAAGAAATATTACCAGCTTTTGGACTCCACCAAATGTCCGAATTGTTGCATATTCAATAAAAGAGAAATTATTTTAGGTGGGAGATTGATGCTTATGAGTTTTAGAAACTGTATCTTTCACAGATAAGTAGTAAAATATCTACAGATGAAATGATATGACCTGAGATTTGAACATAATTAAAGATTAATGTGAATTTTAAATTTTAATTGGTAGGGTTTGGACATAAAAAAGGTAAGGGTTTGTATTAGCGTTAGGATATCACTAGAATAAGTTTAAGGTTAGGGTTAGGAATAAGGTTTATGTTTTTCTATGGTCAAAGTTGAGAATGAAAGTTAGGATTAGGGTGAATGTTAAATTTAGAGTAATTGGTAGGTTTAGGCAATGACAGGATCATTGTTAATTATTAGGATTAGATTTAATATTAAGGTTAGGGTTAGGGATAGAGATGTAGTTAAGTGTGGTTATAGCTGCAGTTGAGAATGAAAATAAAGATGAGAGGAATGGTAAAATTGGAGTAATTTTAAATTTTGGCCAACACTAGGATCAGGGTAAATATTGGGGTAGAGTTAACGTTAGGATTAGAGCTAGGTTTAGGGATAGGGAAAGAGATTAGGATTAGCTATAGTCAAAATTGAGAATGGAAGTTAGGCTTACGGCTAAAGTCAAACTCAGTAATTCC